CTGGATTGTCCCTACGTGAACGGGGAAGTCCAAGTCGCCGTCAGGGAAAAGCCTTTTCCCATGCCTGGAGTGCAACTTCTCCTAGGCAACGACTTGGCAGAAGACCTGCAACCGACCAACCTGATCGTCATGGACAAACCCCAGGTGTGTAACTCTGTGCCAATAAATCCTATTCTTGAGTATGTTCCAGCAGAGGTTCAAGAGAGTGATGAAGTTTCTCCTCCGGTTCTCGTGACCACCCGTGCACAAGCCGCACGTCCACAGCCAGCTGACTCTACTGCTACCGCTGTCCCTCAAGACCCTCAGAAACTACCCCCGCATCTGACCAAGTTGGAGTTCCGTAAGTTGCAGAGGGAAGATCTTACTTTAACACCATTGTTTTTCCAGGCTGAGACTCAACCCGACAGTATTCCTGGGTTCTTCCTAGAGAACGACTTGCTCTACCGCAGATATAGACCCAGTAAACTGAAGGAGGAGGACAATTGGGCCAACACCGAACAACTTGTGATTCCCACCAGCCTGCGGCCCACTATTCTACACCTGGCCCACGGAGCATTCTCCCACTACGGCTTCAACAAGACTTACCATGGGATTCGTCAAGACTACTACTGGCCAGGTATGGTAAACAACGTCAAACAGTACGTAAAACAGTGTCATACATGTCAGATGGCAGGCAAACCGAACGTCTCCATTCCCAGAGCACCACTGATTCCCATACAGGTGCCTGCGGAACCTTTCCACAGACTCATAATAGACTGTGTTGGTCCTTTACCTCGGACCAGTTCAGGTAACGCCTACATCCTAACCATCCTGTGTCCTACCACCAGATTTCCCATAGCAGTTCCAGTGAAGAACATCACGGCTGCTACGGTTATCAAACATCTACTGAAGATCTTCACTCAATACGGATTTCCCAGGGAGATTCAAAGTGACTGTGGCACCAACTTCACCAGTGATCTCTTCAAAAGGACACTGGAGGAGTTCAACATCAAACAGGTATTGTCCAGCCCCTATCATCCTGCTTCACAGGGTTCTCTTGAACGTAGTCATCAGACCATCAAAGCACTCTTGAAAAAGTTTTGTAGTGAAACCTCAAAGGATTGGGATAAGCAGATTGACCTAATAATGTGTATTTTCAGAAGTCTCCCCAATGAGTCCCTAGGAGTATCTCCTAATGAGATGCTCTACGGCCGTAAGTGCCGTACTCCCCTTAAGGCTTTCAAAGACTCTCTCAGAGATGCCACCTTCAGTGAGCATCAGAATGTGCCCCAGTTTCTTCAAAACCTTCAACACATTCTAGAGAGAGTCCACCGCTTTGCCCATGATAATCTATTGAAAGCCCAGGTGAGAATGAAGACTCATTACGACCAGACCAGCAAAGTAAGAAAATTCAAGCCGGGAGACTTCGTCCTTGCCTATTTCCCTATCCCAGGTTCACCTTTACAAAACAGATTTTCAGGACCCTACTGCGTCAAAGAGTGCAGAGGCAACAACACTTACGTCATAGAAACTCCAAATAGGCGGCGGAAGACCCAGCTGTGCCACGTCAACCTCCTGAAGCAATATAATGGTACTCCTCCCACTGTCTTGATTAATTGTTCTACCTTCACAGAACCCTACATCCACAGTGAGACCTTCCCAGCTTCTCCTCCCGAAAGCACTGACAAGGAGTCAGCGCTTTCTAATTCCGAAATCCTTAATGATCTTCTCAAATGCTTTCAGGATAATAATCGTGCTCCTTTGCCCTCTTCTAATTCCACTCTCACCTCGTCAGATAAGCCCTTCATCCTCCATGTCGACGCCAATGGTACCGACGATGGTGGTGTCGTGATGCAGCAACGAGGCGAGAAGAATACACCTGTCAGCGACTACTGCTACAAGGAACGACGGAACAATTGGCAAGGAGCTACTCTTCCTCATCCTGAAGCTTCAGCACTTCACTCCACACCTGAAAAGTGCTCGGTCCACCATCAATACGGACCACACCACCCTACACCTCCTGCAGCACGCCCACTTCTCATCTCAACGTCTTCTACTATGGGCTTGCTAACTGCAGAAATTCAACCTGGAGACACGCTATACCAAGAGTCTGACAACATCTTAGCCCATGATCTCTCCAGAGTTTATGAAGTAGAAGCAACTCCATCCATTACTCCACCACATAACGACGTACTTCTTCCAGAACCGCAGGCTTCGGGGGAGAGTTGTGACAATAATCTCCTTCAAGAGATTGAGCCTGCTCTTCCCTCCATAATTACGTCTTCACAATTATATAAAAAGACTATGGAAGAAATGTCCAACAACGACAACAACACCAGCAAGGCTTGCCAGGGTGAGCAAAACGTATGCAGCCAGCCACCTGTTCGAACTCCAACCACCAAACTACCCGTTGATCGCTACGGCTCCGCTGATTGGTCGCCGGTCTGGCTGCACCTGCCTCGCCCCCCCCAATACTACCTGATATCTGGGGTCGCCCCAACATCAGTCCTCAGAATGTTCAGTGCTTTCGTGGCCATCACACCTCCCAGCTAGACTCTAGCGTGTACTGAGAGAGGTGGTGGCTTTAAGCCAATATTCCAGCACCTCCCACTTAACTTTTGTATTGCACTTGTTATTTTGCCTTAACGTAACTTTTCATTGTGTCATTTAAGTATTCTTATTATTTTGATTGATTGATTTTATTATAAGAATTTGTTTGTGCATTATTTTCATGTTTTGATTTATTTAACGTAATTAAAATTTCATTGTTAAAGTTTACTTGTGTTTTGTGTGTCTTCTCCTTACCTTACCACAGACGAAGTTCCAGTTTTTTCTATTTTTTTTTATAACTATGTGACGAGGCCATACCCCTAGCCTTAAACAGCCGAACACCAACGCGTTACCGTCACAGTATCAATGTGTTTTTTGAAGTTTAATTTAGCTCAAATGGAGGGTAGAAAGCATAAAGCTTTGTACCCCAAATATGCTAAATTGAAGTGGAAGTAACTCGTGTACAAGGCACAATGAAAACAATTTTTGGATGTCGCTTGGTCTTGCCTTCAAAATCATCCTGTAGGAGAGATTCAGTTTGTGCTAGATGCGACATTAAATTTATAGATTAGTCCAGTTCTGGATCAGTAGCAAAAAACCGTGTAATACTGGAGAGAGAATTACATAAAATCTAGAAGTGGCAATAAACATGAGCATACACGGCACCATCTTTACTACTGTGAAAGTGTAATATTTAATGCAGATGAAAAGCTAATAGTGTCACAGATGGACAAGTAGGTCCAAATAAATGATAAATGACTTCGCTAGTTCATACTGAACTGTACCCGCTTTCGGCTGAACGATTCCTACCCTTAATACTGTTTGCTTGACAACAGTGCTGTCTGGTAACACTACATTAGATGCGGGAAATATTGGTTTCGTGGATACAGTTACCCGGGAAATGCCAGAAAAAATACATAATTATTATATACGTATTATATAAACATGTTGAAGATCCTAGTTAGAGTATAATGTTACCAATGCAGCCTCCTTCAGCATCCATGGCAATCTCTGATCTTGTCCTTGTTCAGTCGTCTCCTACTTGTCTCCATTGGTTCTGTCTTATAAACCTGGGGCTCCTTTAAGTTTCTCAGGACTGGTTTTCCATGACATTATTAACCGTATGGTCCTGTACCACAGTTTCCTTCAGTGTGTGAGCGTGCACCTGCCAGGGAAGGTGCGCCAGTGTGTGCCGGGATACTGTGGGGTGTTGAGCAGCAGTGTGCTTTACACGCACACGCTCGTTTCTATGAAGTACAAACAATAAGAACTACATAGATATTTTTAATTAATAACTTACACGAGGTGGCATTTGTCGCCTTCCCCGGGGCTGTAGCATGTAGGTCAATGTCATGGGGGGGGGGGGACGCTAAATCACCTACCTCATTCATAACTCTTCTTACCCTCCCCTACCCATCCAGTCTCCCTCCCTGCCTCGTGTTCCTCCATTCCCCACCTCCACTTCTTGCCCCATGGAACTCCATTCCCCCTTCTTGTCTCTTCCATTACTTCTAACCAATAACCCGTCATGCTTCACCCCTACATTTTCCTTCCTCCTTCATTGTTACCTACCCTTTTCATCCATTCCCTCTTTGCACCATTGCAAGAATGCGTGGGGGGGGGGTGATTGATTGATAAAGATTAAGCCACCCAAGAGGTGGCACGGGCATGAATAGCCCGTAAGGGGGGTGGGGGTGGCAGAAATGTAGTAATATAACCCGGTGGTAGGTGGGGTGTTAAGGAGAGGGTTTGTTTAAATGACTCGTCAGTCTTTTATTTAGCAACTCGATGCTTTTCGGTACGGCCAACTGTCACTCCGCACTTGTGGCTGTTGATCTTCGCTGCTAAACCAACCCGAATTCTTAAAAAACGTCGCTTTTCGCTCATATGCGCGCTATGGCCAAAAATGGACGTAATTTCTTCGCCTCTGAAAGTGAGGTGACGTTTTCTGTTTGAATCCTCAGGCTTACTTGGTTAGGTTAGGAGGAAACCTTCAATTAACGGTTTTTGTGACGTTTTGAAACCTTAGGAGAACTTTCTGCCCTCCTAACCTACCAGAGGACCCCCATAACTTGCTGTTTTTGGGGAAAAAAAATCAATTTATTTTCAATTACTTTATTCCCAATTTCCAAATTACGTCCATTTTCGGCCATCGGGCAAACGGACAAATTCAGACGTAATTTGTAAGAATTGGTTACTAAACGGCCACAGCCTACTCTGCAAGTTCTGCTATAGCGCGTTTTAATTTTCGTGTAAACACTGGAATCTCCAGTCACTATATGCTTTATCTTTATTGCAAATGATTTGACTAGCGCTAACCATAAAGCCTAAATATAGACTGACACAAATTCCTATCCTGGTTCTACACTATTACAAGATGGGTAATTTTTATATTCCTATAAATCGTAAATCTACAATATATTAAGATGTATGCTTTACATATTTTAACAATAAATAATTCTTCTTTTCAGGAAAGACTCGAGCGACTACACAATGAATTCAATGGGCAGGTTAATACTTTACAAATTGAATTGACTGACATAAAAAATATAAAAGAGGACCTAACACGATACATCAGGGAACTAGAACAAACTAATGATGATCTAGAAAGAGCTAAAAGGTACAGTACTCATTGCATTGTTTAAATTACTTTTGTTTAAAAATAATGTACCATATTATGTACCATATTTCCTATTATTTATTTGGTACCATATATTTTTGTACCATATTTTGTACCATATTTATTATACCATAACATAGTTTATGTACCATATTTCCATATTATAAAAATAATGTACCATATTTCCACACACCCTTTTTAGTTGTTTCTAATACCTCTATATTTTAGTTGTAATTATTAGTTGCAAAAGACAAAATCTTTCTGCTCTAAAACTGTGTTGACCAGGGTTATATAGCTGCTTTTCTTCCATAAAACTAAAATATCTTAGATGTAGGATGATTGTGTGACAGGTCTGCAATTTTGTGCCAATACTCTACCACCTCTTCTCCTTGCACCTGCCTCTTTCCCCCACTTCCCTCCACCTACCCCCCATGCACTGGCCTCTTAACCCTCCCCCCTTTTGCACCAACCTCCTGCCTTCCTCCACCCCCCATGTACTGGTCTCTTCCACTCCCCCCCCCCTCCCAATGCACAAGACGCTTCCACCTCCCCCCCCCCCCCATGTACCAGCCTCAAACTCCCCCTCCTAATGCACCCTTGTCTTTTTATTTAATAAACATTCTGCATCAAGGACAAGTCAAGCTTGGCCTCGGGATGGGCTCGGGGAGTAGAACAACTCCCAGAACCCCATCAAGCAAGTATCGAGGAATGATGTCAGGGATTGGCAATACCTATACCAATAATTAGTGTTTATATAATTCCAACTATATTTCATAAATTCAATTCTTGAATCTTCATTTTACTTGCTGGTACTGTATATAAACTTTCTTCCTTATCTGTAATAGAGATGTTCTTGCACTGTATACAGTATTTCAATTTTTTACTTTGTCATTTCCTTAAATCTTCCATTCTTATCTTCTCTTAATCATTCACAGCTCAGTGCAGTGGTCAACCTTCAATGAACCATGTTCTTTGACATATTTTGTAATATTTCTTTTACCTGGTCAGCCAGTTTTTTACCATTTACCTCGTCAGCCATGGACAAGTGTATTTTCCCCCCTTTTCTTACTTTCACATGAACTTCCTTTACTTCCATGTAGTGGGGCAATCACTGTCCTTGTCAAGTAATACAAGTACTGTACCTGTAGTACAGCATTCTGCTTCTGCTGATGAGCATATTCCATCCATATTAACATATTTCAGATGGATTAGAACTTTTCATATTTTATTCAGTTACCATTTCCATATCTTTTTAATGTATAAAATTTTATTTCATGTTTGTCTTATGACCGGCAACCAGAAAAGTGTATAAATGTTTGTGAAGATAAAGTAACATGTGAATTTATCATTAAACTTAAAACTTTAAAACTACTAGTGCAGCATATTATCATTAAATTCATTAGTTTAAAAACTGGGCTAACTATAGTACTTTATATACTTATTGAGCCATATAAGCAAGTGGCTCAATAAGGAGTGTTTTCATTTTGGCCAGTTTGAAAGGCCCAGAAAGACTGATTAATTTTTTTTTTTTTTTTTTAGAGCCACAGTAACGTCATTAGAGGACTTTGAGGCTCGGCTTAATTTAGCCATAGAACGCAATGCCTTCTTGGAATCGGAACTGGATGAAAAGGAGGATCTGAAGGTGACGGTACAGCGGCTGAAGGATGAGGCACGAGGTGAGAAGGTCTCCTTCACAAATGTTTACCAATTGCTACTAAATTGGCTTTCTGCAGCTTGTGACATGAGTCTAGTGAAGAAACATTGTACGATTTTCATTTGAGGATATTTAATATAGAGAAAAGTAGCACTGTAAGTTTTTCTTAATTTTGATCAAACATAATTATACAGCATTATACTGTAGTAGTATTTGCCAAATTTTTATAACTGATTGTGCCAGTCTTTAGAACAGACTGTGTAATTACTGTACTTCCCAGCACCCAATCATGTGATATAGTACTTTGAAACTGTTGATGGTTTTGGCATCCACCACCTTCTCAATGAACTTGTTCCAACCGTCTACTACTGTGTTTGCTACACAAAACTTTCTTGAATCTATGACCTCATGTTTTTGAAGTTACAGGTTTCAAGAATTCCTCTTGTCAATTGCTGTTACTGTTTTGTATGCAGTAATTACCCATTTTTTAATATTTCTAGCTTTGGTATATTTTATACCTCTAGTCTCTTCTTATAGTTTGTGTTTTCCATTTTGGAAGCTATTTAGTTGCATGTGGAGCTGAGCCATTGTTGGTTAGGAAAGGGAAACCAATAAAGAATCTGAGACCAGACCCAACCACATCTATTCCCAGGACTGAAATAACTGACACATTCTTCAGAACACCAGGAACCCAAACCCAGCAAGCCAAGAAAGAATTAAACCCCAGCTTGAAGATAAGTGAACTTGCTGGAAGCCCAAACCAGCCAGTTAGCAAGGAAGGCCAAAACATCAACATCTGAAAGATACTGCAGTACTGGGAAAAATCTGCCTGGGCTTTAGAAGAATAGAGAAGCCAGAATAAAAAAAAAAAAAGATAATTCAAAAGCAGGAAGCTTGATGCCCTGCAAAAAAACTCTAATGCATTCCTGTAACTTGGATGAAATGGGTTGTGCCAGAACACATCCTGGAGGGCTGGGGACACCATCCAGGAAAACCTTCTCCTACACCAGTGGTCATGCAAAAGGCTGTACCTGAAAGAAAGGAACCAAACCCAATATAACAAACTAGGCTGTTGTAGGAATTATCCCGTATGTTTTCTCTCAGACATGGGAGTTTGGGAAGTTGGAGTCACGTTGTTGTTGACCTGACTCTGGGAGCACGGGACATCCCCTGGGAATTGGCGGTTGAAATACAAAATGGATGGCGCCTTTGTCTTAGTCATCTTTGTCATCCCAAAACCTGGATCAAGGGCAGGGGGTGGGGGGGTTACAAGAGGTCTGGCAAACCATGCCAGATAGACTGGAAGGAAGATGAGAGGTGGACATTGAACTGGTAGAAGTTAAAACTCGCCAGCCATTCCAACTCTAATCACTAAAAACCAAGGGTCGACTCGGATGCAACCACTCGGGCACTACACTGCAAACAAACCAGAAGCGACTGCTGCCTGCTATGCCTCATTACAGAAATAAAATATAGGAAGTCAATAGACAGAGGCTGTAGCTAAAATAGAGACTTGGCAAACCCAAACATTACAAACTTGTGGTTAGAGGGTAATATCTACTATACTTTACAGGTGGTATAGCAGAGACAGTACAGATGAAAAATAAACTATAAAATATATGGATTGTTAACTTTTTGTTCATGTGTTCCATCTTAAATCCTGCTAAGTTAACTATGTATCTTGTTTGTGGTCCATCAGCTGTGCAGTTGGTGCATGCACACCAAGAAAAGTCTTAGATAATTGATAAGAAATGATTGCATAGGTTTTTCCAAGAGTCAGAATTATTGGTGCATTTGCAGTACCTACATTTAGTTTTCTGCATTTAATTCGTGTAAGTGATTTATGCACATGTAAACTAACCTAATTCACCTTCAGATCTTCGGCAAGAGCTGAGTGTAAAAGAAAAAGACGAACCAGGGCCAGACAACGATAAGGCTTTGCAACAGCATCAGCATCATAAATTACACCTTCAGCCACCTCCAAAACAGGAATCATTAACTACTACTGAGGAAACAATAGACTCCAATAAACTTTTATCGAACACACAGCTTCCGGAGTCTGTTTCAACCACTCCTGTAATATGTAAGCTGCAGTATATCTTAGTACAATTATGATAAAATATGAATACTCTGTATTGCATGAAAATACTGGTTTAATGAAGTGAAAAACAGTGTCTTAGGGTTTGGCCTCTAAAAGGGCATCACTTAATCTTTCCAGTACTACACACTATACACAAGTGCAGCCATTCCTGTTTCATGTGGCACATACCATTAGTTCCTGGTGCTCCAGGAATTTCTTTCATGAGATCAGGCATCCATCAGGGCTTTTTATATGGCTTCACTAAGGTTTTGCTAAATATTTGCTTGTAAAAAGTATTTTACTGTTTTGCCTAGTGAATAAATGTACCACATGCCCCATGAGTGGCTACACTGTTTGCTTCTACTACACACCACTGGAAATATGATAAAACACCCTTTGAGAAGATGAATCCAGACAACTTTTTCTTTTGCAACACTGTTTTTATAATTTTTATTTATTTATATATATACATATATATATATAGAGAGAGTTCTTACATTCTTGTACAGCCACTAGCACGCATAGCATTTTGAGCAAGTCCTTAATCCTAATTTTCTCTGGCATACGACCTGCCAAATTGTTTAACAAGGCACCCATTCACTGCTGGGTTAACAGAGGCTACAGTTAAGGATTGGCACCAAGTAAATCCTCCTGACCAGGATACGAACCCAGGCCAAAGCGCTCGCGAAACGCCAGGCGAGTGTGTTCGCCACAGGGACTGCTTACGTACAGTACATATTCAGTCCTCAGATATTTTGTTGATGCTAACAAAAAATACAACTGAAGAGACATGTATGTAATAGTGATTATATGACAGAAAATCAAGTACAGGCAGTGAAAACATAGGTCTAATGTCTCTTTTATCCAACTCTCATTTAGTAGTAGTATTGTGAATAAGAAATTGCAATTTTTTTTAAAGGCATTATAGAGCATATGTGGTAATAATTCCATAAAACCTGATGTTTAAGGAGCATTATGAAACAAAGTTAGCAACAGTCAGGAAAATGACAGGATGGACACCCCTCAATGAGAACATTCAAAAGGGATGCCACATTAGTGATGGTACTCTTCAAAATGCTTATCTCAAGAGGAATATTGTTTGGTCCTCGCATCCCATCAATGCAGGCGAAATTACAGAACTAGAATATATTCAGATCCTTTTATGCCCACATATAATTCGTGAAGCACTTAAACTACTGGGACCACCTCAAAGCATTTGAACTGTTCTCGTTTTAATGGAGATGAATAGTACCTTATAATACACACAATACTGAGATGATATACCTTGTAATATACAACATAAAATACTAGCAATTCAGGGTTTAAAATTGCACAATAAAATTCAAACAAGCTGAATTGAGAGAGAATGTAAGATGTTTAAAATAAATCCACTGGAAAAGTTAAGGAGCCATAAGCACAATTAGAGAACATTGTAAATATGGACAAATTCTGGACACTTTGTCTCCTGTCAACAAATATAAGAAATGTCACAAACTATTATGGATACTGTCAAGTTGGAATTTAATAAGTTTGTGCTGGAGCTACTGGATGAGCATGGCTATGTGGCCCTACTAGCTGCAAAGACAATACAGCCTCACAGACCAGGCAGTCAAGAAAGGCTGGAACCAGACCAGGTTCCAATAGATGAAATCATCATTAGCTAATAAACAGCAAATAGCAAACTACAAAATATAAAAGCATAATCTCCAAGGTCATCTGTAAATTCCTTCAAGTTTTATGAAACAAATCCTTGTATTCATGCCATGACCCACCTGTATATTAATAAACAAATACATAAGGGCCGTGATGAAGATTGACTACTTAGTGGAATTTTTTTAAAGCCATTGGTATTTTTACATTCAAAATAATTTGACTAATTTTTTTCTTCCGTTCAATTTAAATACTGTACATGACTGAACAACCACCCGGTTTCAGTGCCAGGGCTTCGCAAGAAACCTATCGTATATTCCACCGAGATTACTTATCATAGACCAGTGTGAAAGATTATTTTGGTAACAACATAATTCAAAGACTATTGTTAAAAGTTTATTACAGTACGAGTTAAGAAAATTCTTATATAATTTTACTAATTTATTTCAGCACATCCCTTGCACAGTCTGAATAATGGAAATGTGCCTATGACTCCATCAGCTAGGATATCTGCCCTCAACATTGTTGGTGACCTTTTAAGAAAAGTTGGGGTAAGTTCTTTAAGTAATCTATTGCAGTACAGTATAAATATTGTATAATTTAGCTGAAACTTTTTTTTATATTTCTTAGGACATATTATCACTAGAAGCATTGATAAGTAAATAATTAAAAATCTGCGTGGCTGTAGTTTGTGTGCCGATATGAGTAATGCAGGCCAAACAATCCTCCATAGGAATGCAGAAATGGTTGAATAAATCCTAAACAAGTAACCTGCTTACAAGGACTTCTTCAAGGCTTTTTTAATTTTGGCAATATTTGTACAATTTGTTTTCTGGTAAATGGCTTAAAATAATTGTCTGCATTGGAGAGCAAGAGCTAAGTGAAGTACTATTGTTAGATTTAGGTCTGGTACGACTGGTAGTTCAGGAACACAAGAACGTCTCATTGGTGTTTATGAGGAGTTTTTATGTTCAGTATTAGCTGGCAAATATTTAGGTGGATTTTCATAGCTGCAGTTTAAAATCAAATTTTCTATGCCACTCTTTAGAAATTAAGGTACTGTACTGTTATTGCATAGTTTACATAAAAATTCCTTGGAAATGTTAATAATTTAATTAACCAAATTAAACTTAAACCGCTGGTAAAATTCCTTGTTGTATTGTGTGTACACATTTGACTGGTTACGCCTAAAGAAATTTGCTCTAACCACTATTCCATAAAATAATTTGAAGACAAATTAATCCTAGTAATGAACTTAAAAAACAGTGTTAAACTAAGTTTATTATTAACATTTAAAGAATTTGTTAAATTAGGAGAGATGTCATTATTATTTTTGAGATGCATACTGTTACTGTATGTATCTTACAAATGGTCACAACCAAAGGTAGGTCTTTCTGTGTTTTGACTAGGTCTCCATACACCTTTGCAATCTTTAAGAATGGTGGTGACCTTGGACATCCATATGGATGTTGTTAAACCCAGTGGGTAGGAGTCAACCCTTTTTCAACTACAGTAGTTTGTTCAGTATTAGCTCATAACCCTTCATCAAGAAAATGTTATCAAGAGGTACTGTGTAGTAAATTAACTTAACATATGTGAGGGGGAGCTACTTGAAACACCCTCTGGAGTAGCCCAAGTGTATAAATAAAAATATGACAGACCAAAGCAATAACATTCGTAATTTCTCAAACATACAGACCGAGACATTAGAGACAAGTAACTTGCATACACAAATTTAACTTTAGCACTGGGTGGATATACTGGCATTACATGTCGCCACAATTATATACAGTGTAAGTATTTAAATTTTAATGACTAATTGGATTATAAATCACCCATCATTAATACACAGAGCATATTAACTGGCAACATATTGGGAAAATCATACACAGTATTAAATATTATAATGTTGGTAATGACAAAATTTCAAAGGAACAGTAATGGCCTCTCCCACAATTATAAAAATGATTCCCTCTTAAAACCCAATCCATCTTCCAAAAATGATGGTACGGTGCTTGTAGCAACTATTAGTTGAAACATACAAAAATGAATTACTGTACCCAAAAACTTAGTTTTGATATTGGACTTTTAGTATTCTCAATGCCATTCTAAAGTGGAATAGCAACTACACAACCTAACCTGTCCTAGGCCTAAATAAGCTATCCTATGCTTAAAATATGATATCTTAGGCCTGACTTAGTACATATGTGCTATAATAGACCTAGGAAAGTTTAAGGGTTGGGTATTACCTTCTTTCTTGTGCTCTATATACAAATAATATATAACATTGACCTTTTTAGATGCATCTGATTTTTATACACGTGACCAATAGTTGCTACAAATAATGTACAGTACTGTACTTTAATTTTTGGACAACAGGTTGTAAAATTGTACTGCAACCAACAGCAAATACATGACTTAGTTATGAGAATATTGGCCTATAACAATGCAAAACAAATAAGATAACTTGGCACACAATGAGAGGTCAAAATAAAGCCATCACCCACCAGAGCTGAATGCAACTAATGATCCTACTCCTTGAAAGAACAGGTACTCTAGATACTATGAAAAATGGTGAAATATTTACCATCGTAAATTTACAAGTTGCATTATTAGGAGGTTCAGTCTGAAATAAAATGTACAATACTTTCCCAAGATAATACACATGAAAATGATGAGTAAAACATCTGAAAAATTAAACTGGAAGAAAAAAATGAGGAAATGGAGAAAAATGATTGAAAATTATTCATAAAATAGGAAAATCTTTAGAACAAAGTGAACTGTAGCAGATAAACTGGTGGACAGGTGAATGGTAATGTTAGTTATGGTAGAGTGCTAAATGCTGAAGTGTGAAGATAGGAAGTAGGTGGAGGAAAAACTTTGAAAGTGTACTGGGTTAATTTGATGAAAGAGGTGCTAATGAAAACGTGATTGTTTATCAAGGTTGTTTCCATGATGGAAGCATGTGTGTGTAGATCAGGTATCACATAGACAACTTGAAGACATATCGGAAAGATTGTAAGGCGTGTGTGACATTTATGAATTTGAAAAAACCAAGACATTAAATGAAGAAGGGTTTGGGAGTGATGAGCATGTGGGACAGTAAGAAGTGGGCAGTATGCTGTTAAATGCAATGAAAGTTTTATATGTAGGCAGAAGTGAATGTGTAAGAGTAATGGTATAATAGTTTTGATATGAATGTAGGTGTATGGCAGGATTTTGCGGTGTCACTTGTTTTGTTTTTTATTATAGAAAATATTGTGCAACCATTCCACTGCCTCTGTCACCGTACTGGCATTGAGAGAAGCTGCCCTATAATCAACCTTGCCTTGCTTGAGGCAGGAGTGAATGCTTGTGACAAACAGTTCTTTAATCTCTCCATTCATTGGTCCAGTAATGATTGTATATACAGCTGTATATAATGTAGAAATACATAGGAATGCCACTTTTGATTTTTGTAATTAGCTTTTTATTTCCTCATAATTGGCAACACACATTCATTTCCTCTGCAAAGTACTGTACTTGTAGTTGAAGACCTAGCTGAGGCATTCTTGGTGTTTTGTAGGATGTAAAATTATGCTGACAAGATTGTGAGAATCAATGAACTGGAGCAGAGCCAATAAAAAAAACTAACAGCTGCAGACTCGGTACTGAACTGAGGGAATTATTGCCGGAGTACGAGGGGTAAACAAATCAAAGATATGTGAAAGGGTTATTATGGAATGTATCAAATTTTGGCACCAAAATACCAGACACAATAAAGATTGCAATAGTGAACTTTGTTAGTGAAACTTTACCTGCCATGTGGCACTTTAAATATATACAGATTTAATAGTTTGATGTAAAGAAAACTATGATTTCATAATGTTCTGTTTTTTTTTTTTTTATACAAGAAATAAATTATCAAAAGAGGGCACCAAGCCGGAAAGATTATGTAGCACCATATTCAAAAGGCACTAAATATCAATGAAGATGCCGATATGGGAACAAAAGCAAAGATGTTAACAAAACAAGAAGTTAATTACAGTATTTAGGTAATTATATTTATGTAATGGGTGGTGGTCATTTTGGCAAGTAAGGAAATGTTTGAGCACAAGATTTGATAGGCAAGTACAACAGTTAATTTTATTTTCCAATCTTATTAATTTGATGAAAATAATTTGTCGATGTTATAGGTAAACTACTTGAGCAAGTTGCCAATAATACTGCAGAAAAATTTAAAATGAAAACAGTATGCAGGTTTATGTATACAGTACGCTTAAGGGGGCGTCTGGTTATTATAATGAAAGTTGTTCAATGTCAACCAATATTATTTTTCCAGTTGTATATGAAAAGTGCTTAAATTGTCCCAAGTTTCAGTACTGCAGCGTAAATAGAAAGGGAGTTTTTTTTTTTTTTTTTTTTTTTGAACGTTTTTTACACATTTTCAAGTTCACACTTCAGAACACACGTTTCAGATAAAATTATTCTGTGACACTTTTCTGACACATTAGCATATAATAAAGGATTTGGGGATTTAGAATTTCCAAAACATCTTTAGTTTTCCTAATACAAATGTTCAAAGTTCCCCAAAATTTTTTTGCAAATATGGCATGTTTATTGCTATTATAAAATCAATAAATGAACTTAGAGAAAAATGAAAGCCCCCCAATGTAGAGACATGCCCTCCACATATACTGTGTAAGTTTCATGTAAATTGAATAAAAAAAAGAATGAGTTTTGTAAACGTTTGTGTCAATTGAAAAAAAAACAGAAATTAATAAAGTCTAAGGTTCTAAAATCTGTGGCTGGGGTTGACATCAACCAATTTTCTCCAAAATTGGCATCCTTACAGATAGGCTTACGTACAGTCAGGTGTGTAAGTTTGATGCAAATCGCCCCAAAAAAAATGAGAAAAAAAAAATATTTAAAAAAAAAAAAGAAAAAAAAATCCTTTTTTTTTTTTTTTCCTTAAATTTTTTTTCCAATTAAACTAATAATAATATTTGTTTAATATATGCTATTGTGATAGCAAAGAGTTGTAGTTATGATTTCAGTTGACACTTTTGATTGATAATCGATTTTGACCATTTTTGCATAATTTTCACAACTACTTCAATATTTTTTTTCTCCCTTCCTATTTATGCTACAATGCTGAAACGTGGACCAGATGAAACACTTTTCATATAGAACTTGTCAAAAAAGTTTGATTGAAATCGAATGAGTTTTCATTTTTGCATTTTTGGACCCAGATGCCAACCAGACGCCCCCTTAAAATTAACATTTCCATAAACCAAGCTAATATATATATATATAGGGTAAGAATTTTATTCTATAGTTTAATTGCAATAATAAACGGGTATTGCAAAGCATGAGTTTACAATTATTTATGCGTGTTGCAAATTAATGTCAGCATAATTTCAGTTTTGTAATTAAAGTGCCATACTATGAAAGTATTTTTAATTTCTCAAATGTTTAGCATGTTGATTATATTATGCTGGTAAATTTGCCATTTTATTATTTATAATGAAGTTTTGTCATTCAGAATTTCAGAACACTGGGTTGTCTAGGT